GAGCTGCCCGAAGTGCGTCTGCGTTTTCTTTGAAGATTAAAAAGAATTCGTAACACCGCGACTCTTCTCACGCCGCGATTGCACTACGCACTTTGCACTTTATATCAAAGTAAGCGTACATAGACAGGCACTTATAACAGTTAAGCTGGTGGCGGGGCGCCGTCTAGCGAGACAAGGCGGTATTGTTGTGCTGATATAAGTGAGAACGCCATCCTTGTGCTCTCTGTCACAGCGGACTCAAACTCTCCCACTACAGCCCCCCACACGCACTCACCACAATCCCACACACCGGCCACACGAGGCCCCCACAGAATGCGAGGGAGTTTTTTCCCGGATGAGAGCAGAAGACATGGCGACCACTATTTTGTAATTAATTTGACGGATGTTGAAAACTTTATCAACTTGAACTAGCGTCCTGGTACACCACTCCCAGGCCCCAGGCCCACCACTATGGCCCACGAAAAGAGGAAGACGTGAGACTATAAGCGAGAGACACTAACATGTCTGCTTTGCTTGAGAATGAGTTTTACGGCAGATAGAAGTGTTTCAAGAGGGTAACGAACACAAAAAAGGAGGAGACATAAGGACAATAGGTTAAAGCTTTAGTAAGAGCAACGCTTTAGCACTTGTAACATAAAGAGGTCATGTAAATGCCACTGATTAGAGGTTTCCTTAGTGAGTGACATTAATTCTTGGGATGTGTTAGGGGATTGTTGTTGTTTTTTGTTGGTGTTGTACAAATGTAATTAGTTAGAGTTTTACGGCACTAGCAACACACTAAAGTCATACAAGTGCCGAAGATTAGCGGTGTTACAAGAGAGCAACAAACAAAAAAGGAGAGATGAGGACGACTTATGCTTGATAGCAAAGAAAGAGCAAACTGCGCCAGAACACCCGCAAACCACCCACGACGGAGTTGAAAAGTGCGTTACACGTAAAGAACCCTGGCGAAGTAGCGGGTCAGGACACCAGCTGAGCTGCTGTTGGGTTGCTGTTTACGACTTTCGCCCAGAACAGATTAGGACAAACGTAACAATGAAAAAAGAAGGCAATCATTTTCATTGTAGTTTAATACTTGGGTTGGGGGGTCCTCACAATAACAGAAACAAAACAAAAACAAGAATGTGCCAGACGAATAGTCCGTGGGTAGAAATACGAAGGGAGAGAGGGACCTACGTGCGGTCGGGAGCTCTCCTGACAAATCACTCCATTAAAAAAAAAAATCCATAAAAAACGCTGACCACAACAGGATGTGTCCGCTCTGGCTCAAGGGCGCTCACTCTCAAGAGGGAGGATAAAGTTACGGGAAACCTCGGCCACAAACGTACGTGGGGCCTGGCACTCTCAAGCCCTGACCTTCCGCCAGCAGATTGACAGGCCCCCGCCGCACAATCAAACCGACAGGACTATAATTATCGTTAGTTAAAGCCTTCTTGTACTATTGAAAACAATACTTTTCAAAATTAAAACCATTTACATTTAAAACGATTTTAAATATTGAGGTTCAGGTAAACAAAAGGTGTAGGCATAATTTTACTCTCTCTCTCTCTCTATCTCTCTCTCTCTCTCTCTCTCTCTCTCTCTCTCTCTCTCTCTCTCTCTCT